TTTGTCAATAGCTTGCTCTCTTTAGATATAGTTCGTTAGACCGTCTCTTGCGTATTGAACAAATTGGGAGTAATAAAGCAAGCTTTGAGTACAAATATTTATTGTTTATCTCATGAAACAACAGTTACAACACTATCACTATTTTCATTATGCATGTATTTCTTTTCTTTTTTCATTAGACTCCTGATACCGAAATTATTTTTTAGTTATTACAAATAAATAATAACTTAAGCTAGTTAATATTTCTTTATCGAGATAAAGTTATCTTGTATTGATTTATTTTGGCTGTAAAATGTCATTTGATTGGATAAAAAAATATCTATCAGGAATGAATTTAATAGCCGTCCAAGGTGTACTGTTTATAACCTGGATTGGTACAGAAAACACTTTTTATTAAAAGCTTTGCGGTTTATTAAGCGTAAACTGTCCCAACCCTGGATATTTAGTATAATTTTGGTAGCTATCATATTAATTCCTTACATAATGAAATAATTGTAGTTACCCCATTAAAGAAGGATAAGGAGATAACGAACAGTATTCAATATCAAAGTTCTTAAAACAATACAAAATAGGAGCAGAGCAAACACGGACCTCTGAAATATCAGAGGTGGGATCAGGTGCCATGGAGGAGTGAGCATCCCCTGCCAACTAGTCGTACCCACCGTGTGCTCCTTGTCATGACCAGGAAATAACGGGAAAATCCGTCATCAATTCATTGTAAAAATAATGGAAGATGTCAAGAAATAGGATTATATCTCAATACAAAACAAATTACTGATTATATCATGGGTATTTATATATTTGAAGGAGAAAAAAAAAAGAAATCCGAAAAATGTAGAATAAAAAAATCCTAATATTTTTAAAAACAGTTTTTGACTTGTATACAAGAACATGTACAGGAACTGATTAACATCGGCCTTGGTCAATTATAACCTCAGCAGGTCTGCATTGTCACAAGTTGGCCTCAAGAAAAGTCAATATTTTTTTTCTTAATGAGATTTACTAAATTTGTCAGAAATTAGACAATCCAGTTTTCGTTGCCGATATTGATCAAAGTTTTTCGAAATTTGCAATATAATTTGAAGACTTTCGAGTCTCAATATGCCACTGGAATGAAAATTAGGTCATTGATTTATTTTTTGAAAGAGAACAAGATGTGTTTGTGAAACTCTATAAACACTATGCGCTCGGCGGCAACAAAGTTCGAGTAAAGCTATTTTAAGCATATAGGTCACAGTTAAGGTCACAACGTCAGTCACCTTGGTATCATTTGATAGAACTTGATTTGTGGAGTTATCCGAGTATGCATACCAGATACGAAGTCTCTATCTCTCATGGTTCAAAAGTTATGATGAAGGTTTTAAAAAAGGTCACAGTCAATGTCACAAGGTCATTTACCTTGGTATTATTGGAAAGGGCTTAATTAGTAGAGTATGAATACTAATTATGAAGTCTCTTACTTTCATGGTTCAAAAGTTAGGTGAAAGTTAATGTTTACAGAAAAAAAAATTAGCATATAGGTCACAGTCAAGGTCACAAGGTCATTGACCTTGGTGTCATTTGAAAGAACTTTATTAATGGAGTATGTATAAATATGAAATTGTATCTTTTATGGTTCAAAAAGTATGGCGAAAGTTTGCAGACAAAAAGACATACAGACACACAGACAGCTAGACAAAAAGACGGACAGATGGTACAAAAACAATAACCGCCCCGAACCTATCGATCCGGGTGCATAAAAATACCACAGTCATATGTCAAGTATTTGACTTTTCAATTCTATGAGTAGAATATTTTTGTCTTATAGTTAACTTTCTTAAAGATTCTTGTTGAGTAGTTGCTTCATCCTAATTCTTCATAAGATGTTGTTTTTTTGCTATGTTTGTAATTCTGTTGCTTGGGAAAAAATAATTCAAAAATTCTTTTAAAAACCTTGTTTGACAATGCCGAACCTGGGCAATAGCAATTCAAATATAAGAATCAGATAATATGTTGAAAACTTAAATGAATATGTTCTAAAAATAACTTTCATTGCTTCATTGCTAAGGAAAATTTAATGTTGCCATGGAGATAAAAATTCTTTTAAAAACCTTGTTTGACAATGCCGAAAATGGGCAATAGCAATTCAACTCTAAGAATCAGATAATATGTTAAAAACTTTAATGAATATGTACTAAAAATAACTTTCAATGCTTCGTTGCTAAGGAAAATTTACTGTTGTCATGGAGATAGCTTATTGTAAAATTGTCATAGGTACACAAGGAAGAATATTTTATACTTTATTATTTTAAAAATTGATTTTGGTACTCAGTGATTACAATTTATATGATTTTTCTACCAATGCTTTAGATTATCACCATTTTTAATATTTCAAACCATCCATTTTTGTTGCCTAGCAACAGCTAGAAAATTTCAAATTTGCAAAACTTTTTATTTTAAATTCTAAGAAAGCCTTTCCTGTAGTTTTACAGGAAATAGATGAAACTTTTGTACTAAGATGGTGAAACGAATATTATCGACTTGATTTTTACCAAAATCAAGCAAAATGCTGAATCAGCAAAAAACGGGAAACAGGTATCTTTAGCTGTATCTATAGTAAATATATTAGAGAATGTAATTTCTTTTTATTACATTGTCAGAGCACTTCAAGAGTTTATCTTTCTTGTGACACTAAGGAAGAAAAGAATTACTTTTTAAAATTTTTTGTACAAAGCCTTCAAAATGGGTGAAATTTCATCAATCTATAAAGAAAAATTGGCCTGTTGCTAAGGAAATTTCTTTGTCCAGGTTTCCATAGTAACAATGACCCAAATTATTTTTCCTTCCGCATACATGGCTAATACCCCGAGAAAAATCTGTGAGTGAAAAATCATTTATTTCTGAGAACCTCATGTATCACCTTTTATATATAGGCTGCCTGATTCTTACGTGGACCTGTACTTAAGTTTTAAAGACTACATGTATTGGTATTTATTTAACTGTTTGGGTAATTATTTTCATTAAAAATGTTTATCAGTTAATGATATTGTTGATGTATTCTATAAGACAAAGACTTTCTGCACCATGCATTCGTGACCTTTTAGTAAGCAATAAAACAAAAAAAAAGTATTTTAGATCAATAAATAATCACATTAAGAGATGATAAATTGACGTAGTAAGTCATTGAAATGTAGAAAACACCACCTATCCCTCCTGTAGATATTTATCATATAACTTAGTAATTAGTAAATCTAGTTATTTTCTCGGTATATTTCTTCCTGGTTAGAAAGTAACCTTCTTTTTATTTATTTATTTTTTTTGGGGGGGGGGGGTCACAAAAAAATTAAAATAGCAAATTTTATCTTTGCCAAAATAAAGTTGATATTGGAAAACAAACAGATTTTCTTTTACATTCGTTGGAAAATAAACAGAAAAAAATAGAAGTTGTCGCTCGTTAGGCCTACTGCTGAGATTCGACAACATATATACTGACACGCAAAAGAAACGCAACAACCAGTAATCTACAAATGTTAGATTTTTTTATCTTATGATTTTCAAAAGCGAATAAAGTAAGGCTAAACTCACTTTTCAGAACATCCGAGATTTGATAAAAATGTTAAATGTTTATCTGTTTACTTTACTAAGTAAAACATGACTGTTAAAACACCCCCCTCCCAGCCATTCAAGTAAAACGTGCAAGACTGCCCTAAACAGCAATTGCAGCTTAATTTCTACGATACAATAGGTTCATTCATATCGAGATCTGAGCGAAGGAAATATTCTTTGGCCTTTTAAAGTGCCCTTGGACTTCCGGTACAAGGACTGTCTTTAATGCATATGATACGTAAGACCCTGTTGATGCGTAATGTAGTGAAATTTCGCATCAGCAACTCTCCATCACCTTTACATTGAAATTTTCCAGCTAGAGCAATGGAAATGCGTACATAAGCCATTTTCAAGTAGCCTTAGCATCGTTACGGGAAACGAAAGGAGAGTTTATTTTTTGAAATATTGCTGCATTACTTATGATGAACAGTAAAAAACCCTTAAAACTCCATAATATTGCCAAATGTTTTGTTAAACATGCAATTTTTAATTTCTGTTAAGCAGACTCAACTTGACTTCCGGTTATGGTATGGAAATCGTTCAACCGTTAAATTACCGATGTTTACCAAATTGAAGATATTCATAATTTTAAGATACAAAATTCTTTACTTTACATAATTATTTCCCACGAAAGTAGGGTGTTGCGTTTCTTTTGCGTGTCAGTATACAACAGTCATTCCCCTTGTGGTGTAAACGTGCTTAATTAAACACTACCAACTTTTAGGGGGCATTATCTTAGAAATAAAATCTTTATGAGTATTTCATTATATTTTTCATGTTGCCCCATAATCTGGCAATACAAGTACAGATCAAAAGTGTCCAATAATGTTTGAAGTTTAAAAATATTTACATGAGGACAAAGTGAGAAAAGTGGGTGTTACGCCGACAACAGGAGATAGTGAAATCCTAGCCTGGTCCCCTGGATTATCCTTGCCAACAGGGACCGAGGACCAGGCTATGTGAAATCCGTCATTATGAGCTTGGACTCTTGCAAATAGTACCAAAATAATCATCTAAACTAATATTACTATACGTCTATTATTGGTTTGTGTATGACATGGTTCATCCTATTTAAATATAACCTTACTTATTATAAATATTCTTCCTTTGAATGAAAAACAGTAGAATCAGACACCACTTAGCAACGTTTGAATTCTTCCGCCAAGTGTACTTTTTTGATGGCGTTTTTTTTTAACACATTATTTTTATTTGGAATTAATTACTCCTTGAGTATAACGTAAGTACATGTAAAAGAGGGAGGAATATTTTAAATTTAATTAGATTTAATTTTATTTATGCCTAGGTCCTGAATTTAAAGATTTTTCCAGCCTCAATGATCGATTCATTGTAAAATTACAGAAAAGAGGACTAGGGCCTAAGTCTTGTCAAAGAAAATGACATTAGGTCTAAATCATTCGAATATTGAGACTAATTAAAATGATTGAATTATCTTAAATTTCATGAATATTTTCCATTCTAGGCCTAAGTATTCATCAATTCCTTATGTTTTCCTCTTGAAGCTGAAGTTACACGAAATGGTTGATTTCCAAGTCGTTGAATGAGAATGTTAGGAGAATGATTTTTTTTTAATATTGAGATTCTCTTTTCAATAAGAAAATCATCTATTTTTATAACTGCAATAACTTCTTGTCGAAACATCAGGAGATGATATATATAATTTTACCGTAAGAATACCGTTGTCATGGCGTCATAGTAACGTTATGTAAACAAAAGATAAAACTTTGAACACGGATTTTAATACAAATACCTTAAAATGTCGTGTTAAGACTTGTAAATTTTGATTCCCCTTATCAATAGGAAAAGTTTGAACTAAAAATTTTTTTTTCAAAAAGTTTAACTTAAAAATTTGCTTATTGAAATTCAATCAGCAGTTCCTGTGTTTTTCCATGGTACAGCATTATGCTATTTTTCAATGCAATTACGAAAGAAATGTATAAAATGTTTGTAAAAAATGATTTTCTTAGATGTATGGGATAAATTAATCGCAAAAAATTCAACAGACATTTGTAAGAGTTACGTTTAAAAAAATTCAAAAACATAACGGGGGGTTCTTTTGGGTGACTTGAGACATCGTTTTATAATTTTTTTGGACAAAGACAAGATTATTAGAACAGTTTATATGTATATTCTTACAGAAGATATAGAGTCGATTCCAACAAGTATATTCATATATGATACAACGGTGAAAACTAAGCAATATCTATAAAACATAGTAAACCTTGAAGCACAAAATCGAACCCCATCTTGTTTTCTGACGTGAGTACAACGTTTTGGCGCTTTTTGCTGATTGGATAACTCCATTTAGTGGAACCAATCAGCACGAGCAAAATACAGCCAATCAACGGCACGCATTTTCCTTGGAAAAGTATATAAGCACGCGATTTTTGGGATTTGGCATCAGTTGTATTCGACGCATTGTCAAAGCAAGACGCAAAAATGAGAACCTCTTCGATTGTTCGATCTTCCGCCATTCTTGGCACTTTCCTGTCATCAACAGGCCGTACAATGCACAAAGACTTGTATGAGTAAGTAAATAAAAGATTATTTTTTAATTTATGAATTAAATTAGTACATAACGTCAAATTATTTGTTGCTTTGTAAAAAGAGCGTCCATAGCAACCGCATTTTGTCTTTTGCAGGATGGGATGTAATGTGTGGCAGTTTACTACGGAGGTGAGTGCCACCCTAAGGGTAAGTTTGTTTTTTTTTTTTAATATTTATTTGTTTTGTGTACTAACAATACGTCTCTCTTGGCTGTAGCACTTTCTAACTCTTTCTTTCCTTTCTCTCAGCATGAGCTGCTGTCGCTGGGTGACAGTGTTTACAGCTTTGCTACAACCACTTCTGCTGCTGCTCTGTCTTACTTCTCGGCAACAGATCTGCTCTTCTTTCTGGCATTTCTGCTCTTTCTTACTTCGGTTGTTGGGTGTGTTCAGTTTGTTAGAAAGTTCAACACTGCAATGAAAGACCTGAAAAGCACAATGGCGGGTCTAGCAGAAGGTTATTATTTTGAGTTTTTTGTCTTATGCCACATTTGCTACTTTTTATCCTTTTATATGCAATACTAAGGAACGAATTGGTTAATTTTTGTTTATTAACATTTTCAGAGAATGTGCAGATGAGATTGCTTGTAACAGCCTTGCTCAATGATGCTGAGGAAACCGAGAAGGAATTAGGTTAGTATTTATAACTTTTGACCAAAAGTTAACATGCATACTGAATTAACGTTTCATGTGTCAAAAAATGTGGATAGTTGTTTACTTGAAATAAATCGTTTTACTAATTTTACTTATTTTTCACTGCAGCAATGAAATTGGAAACCCTTGCTGAAGATCACAAGAACTTGGCCAAGTGGTTAAATTTTCACACGGACATGTTCAGCATCAGGTACCATTATTTTACTCCCAACTATTTTGATTTTATTTATTATAGGCATTTAAAATAGACACAAAATTATTTATATTTCACATTCTGATTTCAGGTTGGACTGCATGGAGAGACGAAAAAACAAAAAATAAATCCGTTGAGCTTGCTTTTATGAACATTTCATCAGCTTATCATTTAATTTTCCATACATCAAATGTGTTAATAAAGAACTGTTGCCTGAATCTTTTTGCTTCTTTAGAATATTTTTTTCATCTTTCTGAAGATCAACTTTATAGACGGCTGAACATAAAATGTATTACATAAATAGATAAGTAAAGGTTGTCAGTATGTTCTTATCTGCAAAAAAAAATGTTCTAAACCACAGGTACTTGTTGATAGAACCCCCTCCCCCCCAAAAAAGTTTAGCAATACTAGTTCCCTACTGGCAAATGTAATCTGGTTTCAATTAAATATTGAAAATGTCGTAATTCCGTCAAAAACCATTAAGGTGAACAAAATCCAAACTTAATTCATATAACTTTGTCATGGTAAAGTGGCATACAGTACCAAAAATCAGCTCATTATCTGCAAGTGTTTGGGGGAAAAGTGTGTAAACTGTTCAAAAATTAAAAAGGACGTATTTCCCTAAACAAGTGGCCCATGGGCCTTACAGCTCACCTGAGTATTATGCAACAACTTTGCAACGATTGAATTTGGTTCATGTTTAAACCAGAGGCCCTGTTATTCATAATTTTAAAAGATGCACCATTGCTCACAACTATAGACTTTAATAGCATGCTTAGTTTGAATGCTTAATACCTAGAGGTAGAGCAGAGGAACAAAGAAAAAAAAATTCTACTCATAATATAATCAGTAGTGCTCCACCCTGCAGGAACCCCTGACCTTAGGGCCACACTTTTCACAATTGCTGATTTGCTCATTTTATATGTTTAATTAATACTAAGGAGCTGATTTCAAAGCATTTAACATTTTCAGTATATAATCATTAGGACCCCCCCCCCCCACCCCCCCGGAGTGAAAATGTTCAAATGTAAAACACAGTACAACTCAGGTGACCTAAATTTAAAAAAAAAACCATTGAAGCGGAATGATCTGCAACTCATCAAGATACATTTAGAATACATACCAGAAACCTTCTCAATATCTACAAGCCCATTCTTTAAGTTATAGCATATAAAAACAGTAAATACACTATACATTTATTGACTAGGTTTAAGGGCATTTTGTCAGACTCAAAAACTAAAAAGATATCCGCATTCAAGATACTGAAGTTCAACTGTACCTTTTATTTACTGTACACAAGGAAATTTTTGCCTTGTTTTATTTTCACTCCTTTCAGCCTTGTTGCAAGTGGGTCAATTTAAAATGGGGCAAATTTAAAGAACACATTACCTTACAAATATAAACTATGTGAGTAAATTCAAAACAGGGCCGAAGTGCTTGCTGGTATAAAAGGGCGAAAATAAGATAAGGAGAATAATAACCCTGTATACAGGTATTTTTTGCTGGTTTCCATGATGTCAATTTCCTTTACCCGCACAGAGGTTATCATTGAAGCAAGTGCCATATCTATCCCTCTCTATTATGTAGTTAAATAATGTAGGTAAAATATTAAAAAAATGTATAAAATTATTTTATTATTCTTAGATGCAGTATACTTGAATGCAGAGAGTATTATTCAAATATTTAACCTTGGTTTATGAATATTTGATGTGAAAAGCTTACTCAGGTGAGCAAAGAATAAATTAAAAATGCTGCCTTAATCATGCAAATCACTACAAAGAATCGAGATAAATTCACTGATAATCTACTCTAAGTTTAAAAATTACACTGACTTTTCAGTATAGACCAATTCTCTGACAGTCCACAAATCTGAAAATACAGCTTGAGGTTTACATAAATATGCTACTAAAAATAAATCTGTTATTACTAAGTACTGTCACTCAGTTTAAATGGTTGTTATCACTGATGCAATTTTAAACCACACACTGGGCATTTCTTGCTTGAGTCGCTCAGTTATTGTCAGTTGTTAACACTGAAGCATGTGTAATCCACATGTGGGACATTTATTGCTAGTGTCCTCGGGAAGAGAGTCCAGATCTATAGCAGCACACGTTCTGTTGAGGTAGGAGTCTCCGGGTTCCACTTGTCTGATCTGAGATAACACTGCATCATTTCTGAAAAAAAAATAGATTTAAAATAATAAAAATAAAATTCCCTAATTGTGTACATATCTGGGGGAAAAAACTTGATTCAGACTTCTCAATATTGAAAAAATTAAAAAAAATATATGTTTCTATTCAGCAAAAAATGTGTCAATCTGTTTTTTGTTTTTTAGCTCACCTGAGCCGAAGGCTCAAGTGAGCTTTTCTGATCAAAATTTGTCCGTCGTCCGTCGTTGTCGTTGTAGTCGTTGTTGTCGTTGTCGTCGTCGTCGTAAACTTTTCACATTTTCATCTTCTTCTCAAGAACCACTGGGCCATTTTTAACCAAACTTGCTACAAAGTATCCTTGGGTAAAGGGGATTCAAGTTTGTTCAAATGAAGGGCCACGCCCTTTTCCAAGGGGAGATAATCATGAATTTGTTAAAAATTAATGGCATTTTTAAAAAATCTTCTTCTCCAGAACCGCTGGGCCAGGAAAGATGAAACTCATGTGGAAGCATCCTCAGGTAGTGTAGATTCAAGTTTGTTCAAACCATGACCCCCGGGGCAAGGGTGAGGCCAAAATGGCCGACCCAAGTTTTACATAGGAATATATAGGAAAAATCTTTGAAAATCTTCTTCTCCAGAACCAGTGGGCCAGGAAAGATGAAACTCATGTGGAATCATCCTCAGGTAGTGTAGATTCAAGTTTGTTCAAATCATGACCCCCGGGGCAAGGGTGAGGCCAAAATGGCCGACCCAAGTTTTACATAGGAATATATAGGAAATATCTTTAAAAATCTTCTTCTCCAGAATCAGTGGGCCAGGAAAGATGAAACTCATGTGGAAGCATCCTCAGGTAGTGTAGATTCAAGTTTGTTCAAATCATGACCCCCGGGCAAGGGTGAGGCCAAAATGGCTGACCCCAATTTTTACATAGGAATATATAGGAAATATCTTTAAAAATCCTTCTCAATTACCACTGGGCCAGGAAAAATGAAACTCATTTGGAATCATCCTCAGGTAGTGTAGATTCAAGTTTGTTCAAATCATGACCCCCGGCCTTGGGGATAGGGTGGGGCCAAAATGGCCGACCCAAGTTTTACATAGGGATATATAGGGAAACCTTTTAAAATCTTCTTTTCAAGTACTTCAAAGCTATGATTAGTGATATTCATATGGAATCATAGGTAGTGTAGATTCTAGTTTGCTCAAATGATGAATGCCTGGAAGGGGGGGGGGTAGTAAATTCAAGCCCGATGTGCTCAGGTGAGCGCTGTGGCCCCAGGGCCTCTTGTTTTAAATATATTTTCATTTGATTTTATTTTTTTTTTTTCTTGATATGGGATACACATTTTCAAAGCCTATTTGCCAGTTGCGTATCGATGGCTCAGATAAGTACAGCTCAGTGGTTGATCCGTGGATCACGCAAGCCGGGTTTAACCCCAGTTGAGTCGGGATTACCTGAGTCGCATTTCTGTTGCACGCTATAAAACTGAGTAAGGTTTACCTAATCTTGACTTACTCATATAAGATGTTGAAGGATAATAGGTTTCCTCATATTACAGCACTTCAAAACAAGTTTTAATACTAGTAAATGGATGAAATTTAAAAGGATATATTTAAAAACAAAGATATATATTGATGTTAAATTGTAAATTAAAAATGCCGAAAAAATGCAATACAATTTAATTCAAATCACGGCATCTTTCATCGAAACTCAAACCATAAGAAAATATAAAATCGCAAACAAAATAAAGCTTTTACAAAAGACTGAAGAGAAGAAAACAGGGATGGGGGTCTTGGAATAAGTAATTTAGAAACAATACCAAAACACAAGATATGGGTAATTAATAAAGGAACAATATATAAATTTAGATTTATAGTTTAAAAAGATCAAATGAAAAAAAAAAACGTATAAGACATTATTTTTGAGACAACACATATTAGCCATGTTTTCTAGAGAATTTTTTACAGCGGCAAAATGATAGGGGACGAACATGCCCTCCCTCCCCTGGTTCCTACGGCCATGTAGATAGCCTGATTAATCAGATAACTGAAATACTTTTTATCTTTAGGAAAATCGGCATTATTAGAAATAATTGGAATGTGTATCATCATCAATTCCTAAATATGATTTAAATTTGGTATACTGAGTTTTAGAAAATTTCTATAAAATTCCTGCTTATGTACATTTATGTATTTTAAAAGTACCTTCAAAAACTTTATATTACAGCTACATCATTGTTAAAACGGCACATTGAACAGCTGTTAAAGAATTGTGCAAAAAGTAAAATCCCCATGCAATATGGCCATAAAAATTTTCTTGCAGAATAGCTCTTTTAATACTGCAAAATCTATCAATGCAATCATCATTACCATAAAACATTTCTGTAACATAGAAATATTTCAAATATCGAGATATTCTACCCAAAAATCCATGGAAATGTTATAAAGCCGGGTTTAAACCACCCCTACACCAGGTTCAGAATTTACCGTAATTCTGAGCCGTACTCAGTCAATCCTTACATGCGTGCAACGCGAAAACTTGGATTTAAACCCGGAATCATTGATCGTAGGTTTAAATCTGAGGTACGCAACCGGCCAATTGTCTCTCAAAGCTAAACACTACTCATTAAGAGGCACCGACACACAGGTATATAAACCTCTATATCATTACATCGGAATGCACACTTGAAACTCATGGTCAACCTGCAGTATTTCTTTTGTGGTCTTAAATTTTGTGCCCTTTATTCCTTGCATTTTCGGTCACTCTGTCAAAATTGTATTGACTTGTATATCCAATTGATTTTACTTTCTCCTTGCTAGAAAAAAGTACATAAAATTTGATAATTTCATTGTGACCAAGGAACATGGCAATGTAAGACATTCAGGCCTATACTCGTCAGACTTCTGCAAAGAAATACCTTGAAGTGTGAAGAGGTCTATGTCTTATATGAGGATTGTAGGGGATACTGTATATAGGGTTATTTTGCCCCCTTGTTATTTTCTTCCTTTCAAACTTGCAAACGATTTTGCAATGTTTTAATTTTGCCCTGTCAAAGCTTTGTTTAAGAAATACTGTGTTCTTTGAATTCGCCCCGTTTTAAATTTGCCCATCAGTGAGTAGGGTGAAAGGGGGCAAAAATAAAGCGAGGGCAAAAATTTCCCTGTATACAATAGTAGTGATGAATGAGAAATATGGAGAACAATGCCTTTTATAATATAAACACATTTACCTAATGATTCCAAATTCAACGTCCACCGAGGGTTCAATGCTCCAAAGCAGAAAGCTCTCTGTAAACAAGAAGTGGAATGAGACCTTTACACACCTCTTCCCGGGAGACCAAACTTCTAAGTGTATCCTGTAACAAAAGTGTACATAGAGTATATAAAGTTTACACTTTTACAGAGTACTGTAGAATCTTTAGTACTTATCATTGTGAAAAAACACCTCAAACGTCAAATAGTGATAATAATTATTTGGGAATAAACGGTTCATGAAGAGATTTTTACATTGATTTCAGCACCATAAAAATAAAAGTGAGTGATTTTATTTCGGAAGTGGTGCTTCTCACGTGATAATTTATTCCACACATATTTTAAGGAATTTACAGTGTTTTGTATATGTACAAATAAAAACTAAGAGGGATTATAAACAACTATTGAGTATTGAAAGCAAAAATATATTGAACAACTGACAAACACACATGCAGACAATCTTCTAAAACAAAAAAAATCCATTCTTAGTTAAAAGCATGACTGATTTCAATTCTCACCATCTTACAGTGACATAAATATCACACACACACAGCATTAATTAAAATTAAACATTGTTCTGGAAAACTGTGTCATGGCACCAGGAAATGCCAAATAATTGCTTGGAAACCATTTAGACGTACACGTACAGGTATTTTTTTTCTACCACTTATACTGTTTTTTTTTTTTCTCAAAAACATTTGTCCCCTACAGCACATCTATTTCTCATTAACACATGAAATGCCAAGTTCATATAGTCTGTGGAGAGGTTCTACAGAAAACTATTGAGTAGCATAAACATATCATGGTGAAACCCAATCAAATATCTCACTTTGAATAAACTTTACTGTCATTTTTCTTTACAAAAAGGTATTCAGTATGATCATTTTTGCTGAAAATTTTTTTTTTTTTCTGCAAATGGTCTTCATAATTTTCATGTTTAAAATTCATGGAAATATATCTAGTAGATCTGTGTGAGATCATTGCTGGAGGGTGTTGATTACCTGGGAAATCTGTAAGCTATGTAGTGGTCCATTTCCAATAACATCAAATCATTATGAAGAACACTCATTTGTGATACCAAAGTTCCAACCTCATGCAATATCTGTATAAAAGAAATATGTTATATCACATACAAACAATTTTAGAGACCCCATAAATAAAAAAAAATGCATTTTAAATGTATACAATATAAAAAAAATAAATACATGAAGTCTAATTTCTTTTAAAATTCTCAGCATCTATTGACAATGTAATTTAATTCTGGAAAAAAAAATACATATCAGACCGAAGTGCACTTCAGAAAATAGTATGAAATTCCTTTAAGACATACCTGAGGAAGATCACTTAGATTGGAGTACTTTTGTTTCAAGTAGACCCCATTAACAGCTTCTACAGCTATATGATAACAAAATTGCTCTCTCCTACACTGAACATCTGCAAATACGTTAATTTGTAGGTAAATTATTTGGTGTGTATGTACCATTAAAGGAAGCATTGCGAACATATTAAAAACAGAATCTGAACTAGATGTGAAACTCGTTGCGAGCAACGAGAGGTCTTCCGTCCGATTCTGGAAAGAAAACGTAAAATCGAGCTGAAAAAGTAAAAAGAAATTGCACACAAGGGGAATTGAACCCAAGTCGCCAGCATGAAATTCCGACGGCACTAAATATTACGCTATCGGGACCTCTTCTCTAAATCTATTTAATATATATATTTACGAAACAGTGATTCTCTCTTAAAATTATGAAAGGCGGGTCACTATTCAAAATTTAGCACCAAACGCCACGAGTTAATCTTCGCGCCTTTCCTTTGGAATGTTCTAGTAAATAGGTGTGATAGCTTCAATGAAATAAAAAAAAAAAAACGTTCTTATAGCCTAAGATTCGAGGTTTAGAAAGTATATTTAACACATTTTACAAATTCCATATGGTATATAGGCCTGTAACACTAAAGCGGTGAAACGGTTATGAATTTTTAACTTTTTACAATTTCCTGTTTATCCCCAAAGTGAACTATCCCGATTAATTAATTGAAAAAGGTTGAAACGTTTCGCCGAAAAACATGGCTCGCCCTACGACAGTCAAAGAATCAGATATCATTTATGCTCAATAACTTGAATCAGGTCTTTGAGACAAGAATGCTAAAATAAACTCCATGAAGCGATCTTTAAAAAATCGTTTTCTTATTTTTGTCTTATTTATTAGTTTAATATGACACAAGTGTGCATAGGAAAAACAGTGGCTAAGATTTCTACTGACAATATTAATTAATATTCTTTTTTGAGAAAGTATTACTTATAAATATGATGAGATCTATTTTCAAAAGATATTAGGTATCAAATTTCATTTGCACATTTAGTCTTTTTTTTTTCAACTTTGGGAACTAGCCAAAACCAATTATAGAAGACATTAGTTTGACACAGAACTGCAACGTAACTACAACGTGACTATCCCAGTATTCCTTTACATTTCATTTATCCTTATGTTACTTTTGTTCAAGCAAACGTTCGGCTGCCTCCCTAAACCCCTATTGCGAAATGTCGGCGTTGACAGAGACAGCTGCCATTTTGGATCCGCTTCAGATTTTTGAATGCTAATATCTAGAGTTTAGATTGATCAACATTCAAACAAATTATATAGTAAGCATTATAAGGAGGGTTTCTATTAACATACCAAAAATAAATGAAAAATACTGAAAATCAAAAAAGTTAGATAATACGATTTTTTTAAATTTGCATCTCGTAATGACCGGAAGTACTGACGACGCAAGAAAAGGTGATTCTGCAAACCAGAAAGTCATAATCTATCATCTCCAATAAGTCTCCATAACATATACTTAGCCATTTTCGACAAAAAGGGGCGACAAAATCGCATTTTAAAATCAGGAAATTGTTCATAACTTGGCACCAGAAGCGAATTTTCCAAATTGCTATACGGATGTAACAACTTCATATAATGACAAATATTTTGTGAAAGTTTCATGAAAAACCGCTGAATAGTTTTCGAGAAATCGCCTGCACAAAATTTTGTCAAAATAAAGAATAATAATAATAAGAAACAGTAGAATCACTATAAGGTCTTCCGTGAAGACGGAAGACCTTAAAAAAAATACAACTATCACAGCATTCTTTTACCAATACCCACTTATCCTTGAAATAACAGCAATAAATAGCATATCACTATAATATGAATAAAACTAAAAGCATACTGTAAAATCACATATTTTTGTGTGGATTTGAATTCATGGATGAAGAATTGTTGAGAACGTAACATGTAACATTTTACATTTCATGGTGGATATGAATATGTGGGTGTGTTCATACCTCGAAAACAACGAAAATTAAACCCCCATGAAAATTAGTGATTTCACAGTATATGCAAGAGATCCATGAGAATTCCCTAAATTTTTTTAAAAAATCATTTCTAGATACCTTTGTCACAGGTCATCATTTCAATGGTCGTTATTTTTTCCTCTTCATCATGACCGATTTCTAGTCTTAGTTTTCTTTTGCTGAACATAAAAGTTTTATGACCACTTCTGAAACTAGACTCATCAAAATACCATCCACTCATTCTGAAATATCAAAATAAAAGCCTTTTTTCCGATTTAAGTACATCTCTATGGTACAAAACAAGGTGATAAAATAACCAAGCAAATTCTTTAGAACCTTAGGGAAAAAATACCTTCAGTTAAAGGTCATACGAAACAATGTCCTGAGCATTTTGGGTTGTATACGGAAATAAGTATATCTGAGCAACATTAATCAGCCTGAAATAACATTTTGGATTTTTTACGCAAGTTGGAGGCAGCAGAGTTGATCAAAGATACTTGACTGCGAAGATGAGCTTCAACTAGCGCGGCTTATCTCCCTTTGCTTATGACGTCAGTAAGACCCACTCGCTACATTCTGTACTAATATTTATATAGCCGATCATGTCTTATGCAGCGTAATTTTTAAGAAATATCATTGTCTTGACTAAAACTTTGCATAAATATATGATTTTCAAACCAGACAGTGTTTGTCTTTTAACATCCTCTTGCATTTTTGCAAGATTTTAGCATGTTTTATCCGTGTTATTTATTGTCATCCTTCTACATATCAATACATGCATACCAAAAAGAGCAGAACTTCTGTATTCGAGTTATATATAAATATTGACGCTGTCAAATAGCAATTACAGTTGAATAAATTTCTAACATATAAATATGATTTGTTAATTTTCCGATTAAATTTTTTTTAAGCACGATCAGATTATGAGCATATACCTGTATATATACAGTTACTCGATCGATAGCACATGCATATAAGTAAAGCTGGATTCGATCGATTGACAGCGGTGTGTGAAAGTGAAACTAAACCTGCATGCGGATAAATGATTTCATTTATTTGTAGAAAATGACATGATTCTATGGCTTCCAGGTCTTCTCCTCTCTCAGTTATTCCTTGCTCTTTCTTTGGCTTTTCCTATCTCATTGACTCTTTTTTTAACCAAAGTCGGTACATTTTCACATAACACTGTGCCTTTTTGAATATCGTAATAATCTTAAAAAGTCAGTCTCGGACTTTAAACGCAAATATATCTACTGTAAATCACTTTTCATTCGCGAGAACTTTATTTTCGCGTAATTACGCGAGACAGTGTGCTCGCGAAAATTAAATTCTCGCATATAATAGTATTCCTTAAGATTATATAGAGCAATAACCACAATTCGTGAAAATTTTGTCTTGCTAATCAAGAGTCAATGACTATCTCGCGAAAATAAGGTGTCGCGAAAATTTAGTGATCTACAGTATGTAATCCTACGCACGTACGATTCGGTGTGTATTGGCAGATCAAATTTTCTAAATTTGCATCAGTTTATTTTAACAAATATCATATTCTGCTTTTAAAAAAGAATGTTTAACTGTAAAAATATAAATTTTTAAAATTGTTAGGTTCAGTCTCGCAAACAATGGGCATTGGGGCATGGGTTTCTTTTTCACGGATCATCCTATGCACGCACTGTATGAGTATTTTCAAACTGTATTTACTCAATGAAACTGTTATAGAAGTATAGAACTGCACCGTATTAGTAACATTACAGTACATGCATGTATATTAACGTGCATACTCGTAATGCTGTTAAGTTTTTAAAATCACTTTTCTTGTGACAGCAAAATTACGATGATGTCGTCATAAACCTATTTCTGTATATCATTTTCATTAGTTCTCGTGTTTCAGAATGCAGAAGCGTGCATTCAAATACGCCGACTTTTTTAATAATTTATAGATCCACATTTATCATGAAGTTCAATATCCCCGTGTTTATTTAGGGGAAAAGGGGGGGGGGGTTACATCATGTATCATATACGTATAAAAAAATCAAACAAGAAGATTGTTGTTTCTAAGGTATTAATTTAAAATAAGTAATCTTGGTTGGGGTGAAAAATCTTGATTTCAACGGGGTTTTCATCAGGATCATCTTACTATGAAAAGCTCTCGTTTTCAGTTGCTGTGCCTAAATTAACAATAAGTTCAAATGAAGTGAACTGTTCCTTAGAATCAGGTAGCTCATCGAAAAACATAATCACATTTATATCCACAAAAAAGACTAAAATTAACTCAATAAAATACAGTAAAATTACACTAGATCTAATGCGTTGTTAACATCAATGGGTCTTTGTGACGTCATACAAACACAAAATCAAGAACGATAAGCGAGTATAACAAATTTATCAAGTGGACAAGTTTAGGCCTTCATTTTTCTGTTAAACAAAAGCAATTTTTTTTTACCAAACGTAATTTAACATTCTTTCATACCAGTCTTTATGTTTAATAAGTAAAATCCTAGTGTAATGAACTGTTTCGTATGACCTTTAATGTGAACCTTCTAAATTTTTTCTTTTATTTTCACAAATTCACCTTTAAAAAATTTAAAATAAAGAATTGCTAAATTTGGAAACAGACCCATATAAAAGTTGAATTTCGTTGTGTATTTTCTGTGCCTGGTTTTGAAGTTCCTGCATGTTTTCTTTTTGTGACTCCTGTCTCACATTTTCTGACAACTTTTGAGCCAGAGCTGCATGCTCCTCAGCCAGCCTTCTGTTAGCCCTGAGAATTATATCATCTCTATTAAAACATGCATAATTTTGTAAAACAGGGGTGAAATGTTCTCAATGCCTTTTATAGTGAGAGTTTCACGACATGCATGTCTAAATACATGTATTACATTTATAGATAACGTGAAAATATTAAAAACTTCAAAGTGAATTATCCCCCCTACCCCTTTCATCCCAAGGCAGGCTGGCTCTAAACCCAAACTTTGCTCAAATATTCTTCTGTTTATAAACCTTTCCATTCCAATGGTCCTAGTTGTTTGGGTTTTTTTTTTTATAGAATACAACTACCATAAAGGCTATCAGACAATACTATACTATACATAAAGAACTTACTCGGCCATACTCATTTCTTCATTCTTCATATTTGTTAAATCTGTCAAAAGAAAGGTAACGGAGATTTGATTTAATAAAATACTCTGTAAATAGAGTACAAAAGCGGTTCAAACACATATACATATATGATATGATGTGTGGTACATACATTATAAGGTGTATTTACACTTACATATTTCCTTTGTGTACATATTAGCTGGCTTTGCGGTGAAAAATAATGTTAAATATGAAAGTTTGCATCAATAATGAAAACCTTTCTCACTTCTTTACACAGTCAGCACTAAACCAATTATTACAAATACTTTTTGTTAAATTTTTTTTACGTAGAAAATATTCAAAAAAATTCACTTTAAATCTTTAAGCAGTCAAATCTTAGAATCAGCATTGACTTAAAAAAAATTTCCAATACCTTTAATAAATTTTCTGAAGCGATTTAAGACATTGCAAGTTGTACACCTATAGGAATACTGTAGACGTACTTTTTTCCACGGGTTCATAATTCTGCGGAATCTCAATTTCTGTTTGATCCGCGTGTAGAAAATTACGCGGATTTCTCACACTGTTACTATATGCCTTGCATTTATATTAAGTATGCTTGGACAAATTGTGACCGCATACATAGTGTAAATTAATACCACGCGGAAAAAAGTACTTCTACAGTACATCAAATTGTGAGATCACGCAAAAGTAAACTCACCTGCTTGTTTGTTCTGTATCTCATCCTTTAATGCCAAATATTCTTGCATTTCCTTCTCTGATGGAACAGGAGTTTGTTTCATTTCTAATATATCTTCATCCATATCTGACAACTCTGCAATAATGTAAATAGGGAATTCCATTAAGACAAGCATGTGCATGCTTCAGCCTTGTACATGTGGCATCTTTATCTATAAAATGTTGCTAAAAATACAAGTCATGTGACATATAGTAAAGTTTTATATAATGCAACAAAGCTTTAAAACCCACATACTCCTTTCAAGTACATGTATATTATATCAGATCTACATATAAAGCTTAATGAATGTTTCAGAAATAAAGATGGGATTTCTTTACAAAAAATTAGATTTAAGTATAGACTGCTTTTCTTGTTTCTCTTTTACCTTGGTTTACAAGTTCTATGTTTTGCATAGCATCTGTGGCCATCTGAAGGATTTCTCCCACTTCTA